ACGATACCCATCATCTAAAAATCATGAGCTTATGGGACCGTCACAGGGCCCAACAAAGAACTGTGACTTTAGCTAAAAAGGGGCATCTAAGCAATCAAACTTGATGTTGATAGAGGTCTATAAGGAGTCTTGGTGGCACAAACAGTTAAGCACTTAGATGCTAACCTAAAGTTAGCAGGGGTGAGCAATCTGAGGTCAAGTCTTGGCAGACCTGCTTGAATATATAGTTTTTGCTCATTTCAAGAGGTAGCCTAAGGTCCAGAACAGATGGTGTTGAAGGAAGATGCCCACGTGGCACGGAAGGCATTTGCACTGAGCTAGCATGCTCCGGGAATTACTGACGTCCCCATGGAAACGTTTCAATAAACAGATGCAGCAATGGAAACATTCCCTTGTGGATGTTAAGAAATTTGGGAGACGGCTACTTGGGCAACTAACTGGAAGAGACCCATCTTCGTGTCCATTCCAAAGGAAGGTGTCCCAACAGAACGTCGAAAGGATCAAGCAATGTCCTCAGCCTTCCACCTGTGAAAAAGGTGGCACTGTGGGTTAAGCACCACACTTTAAACCACTGAGCTGGTGGCTCAACCTCGCCAGCAACTCCCAGGAAGAAAGATGAGGCTGTCACCCCTGGTAAAAATGTGCAGGCTTGGAAACCCCAGGTAGGGTTCCTGAGATTGGAGTGGGCCCGATGGCAGCAGGTTTATACAGGTGGACAAGGAGGCGCGGTGGTGCAGGAGCTACGTGATTGGCTGCTAACCGAAAGGTCAGTGGTTTGGACAAACCAGCTAGACTTAAAAAATGCGGTAGTCAGTGCTGGAGAGATCACTCTGGAAACCATAGGGGCAGTTTTACTCTGTCCTGTTGGCTCGCTTTGAGTCTGAAAGGAGCGATGGGTTTTGTTTTGGGTGTACATTCTACCTGGACGAAGGGATTTCTCACTTTGTTCATGAGGCAGTACACCAGTGTAGGGTGTGTTTGAAGCCAATCGCCTTTGAGATATCAAAGAGCACAGATGAGGGAGATCGAGAAAGAACAGAGAGAGGAACAGAAGCCGAAAAGAACAAGCATCTCCCCTCACAAGAGAGAGACCTGACCCCCTAACTCAGACTTTTATTCTCCTAGCTGTGAGAAATGATGTTTCTGTCTGTTCAAGCCATCCACCTGTGGTACTTTTGTTATAGCGGCAATGGCTAACTAAGGTGCAGGGAAGCCCCTGACACGCGTGTATGCATCCTTTTATCACCCAAGAAGTAGACTATGGGAAGATGGACTGGCCTAATCACATAGTGAACCAGGAGCTCAGAGGCTGGCCAGAGGAAAATGGGGTGAGGGAGAAAAATGAGGTGAAGCTCCTTGAGGCTTAGGTTCTGCGGAACCACTGATGTTCCCTCCCTCCCTCCTTCCTTCCTCAAGTTTATGCCCACTGCCGTCCAGAGTCTACACAGTCTCCCCAAGCCATCTCATCCAACCCTGCGGTTTCAGTGGCCAGACAGACACATGCCCCCAAGCCTGACTGCTGCCCTAGAGCCAATGCCAACTTATAGCCAAGACAGGGCCCCCGGGCTGTAAATGCTTACAGGAGCTGACAACCTCCTCTCTCTCCAGTCATCGGGGGCAATGGACATCTCACTCTGGGGGGCAAAATAAAACTGTGGGGTCTATGGTTCAAAAAACCAATTAAGGATCGCAAGACAGGCGTAGACTCAACACCCAGGAAGCTAGTCTTGCCTTTGACGTAGACCTCCTGAGGTGCAGGGCTCCATCTCCACCTCTCCGTCAACTTGTGCCCAAACCTCATGCCTGCTCTGTCTTCTCAAACAAGAGGCTCCTTGACTCAGGCAAAGGGGGACTCTGTCCTATCAGCTGCTGGACCCCAGAGCCACAGTCAAGACTGGTCTTTACCTCTCTCAGGCTCTTCCCAACACCACCACCCACCCCAGGGTCCATCACCCCCGCCCTGAATATCTCCAACCTCTTCTCCACTCCAAGCCTGGTCCTGTCCCCTGGGGATCATCTCTCTGCTGTAGCTTTCTCCTTTCCAACCCAGTCTTTCCCTTCCCATCCAGAAGAAGCATTCCAAACTGCCAGTCGGGTCACCCGGCTCCCTGCTGAGAATTCCCCCCAAGACTTCTTCTCATCACCTTGAGGGTGAAGTGTTTGGGGTCCTCTCTGATCCACCCGTCTCCCTCGGGGAGGGGGGGGCAAATCTCTGCTCCCTATCATGCTATTGATGGCACCAGGCTCCCATGCCACTAACCTGGACTCCACGCCTTTGTCAGGCAATCTCCCCCATCGTGTTCACTGGACTCACCCATCAGGCCCGCCCACTCCCAGGTAGGACTTCATCCCTCCAGACTGAGTGAGCGCCCCCTGGTGGGATCCCCTAGCAGCACATTGTCCATCTCTCTGTAATGACCCCTTTACCTCTGTTCCCTCTCCTCTGGGGCAGAAATGGTCTCACTGCCTGCTCCGCCCGCAGCAGCTCCTGGCCCATCCCTGACTGAGGTGGGCGCCGAGCAGGGGAGGGGCTTACTTGTTGAAGTGCTCTAGGAAGATGAGGCTGGTGGAGGTGCCGATGATGGTGGTCAGGCCCCCAATGGTGGCGGCGTAGGAGATGCCCAGTGACAGACACTTGCAGACCATCCGGTCATTCTGGGATCTGTACTTCCTGCTCCGCTCCTGGCTCCTGGGGCTGCCGGTCGGGACCAGGGGCTTCTCCTGCCAAAGGAAAGCTAGTGACCCCCTGCCACCCAGCCTGGCTGTCAGGCCTGGCAAGCTTGAGAGGCAGGAGGCACCTGGGGCAGGGGGACTACTGGACAAATCCCACTCCTGGTCCTACCAGTGATCCACTGGGGCATGCCTCTGAGCCTCAGTTTCTTCCTCTGTACGATGGGGAAAATGGCATTTTATTTTTTAAAATTTGTATATCGATCATTTTATCGGGGTCTCTTACAGATATCATAACAATCCATTGATCAATTACATCGAGCAAACTGGTACCGATGCTGCCACAGTCAGAACATGGCAGTTTCTTTGTGTGGTTGTTGTGAAGAACAAGTGGAGTAGCAGTGGCCACGAAGCAAAGAAAACCTAGCTCCCCAGCAGATGGACGGACCCCCAACACGTGGTGTGGTGCGGCCTCGCAACAGGGCGGCACTCAACCTCATAGAGACA